CTGTGTATTTCTCTCCATCCTATTTTTCTCCTTGACTGGGAGCTATGGAATTTGGCTACAGTATGCCTAAGGGTTTTCATTTTGGGATCTCTTTCAGGAGATCATTGTTGAATTCTTTATATTTCTATTTTACCCTTTGGTTCTTTCTAGGATATCAGAGCAGTTTTCCTTGGTAATTTCTTGAAATATGATGTCTTATGTTCTTTTTTTTGATCATGGTTTTTAGGTGGTACAATAATTTTATTTATTTATTTATTTATTTATTTTTTGCTTTTTGGTGAGGCAGTTGGGGTTAAGTGACTTGTCCACAGTCACACGGCTAGTAAGTGTCAAGTGTCTGAGGCCAGATTTGAACTCAGGTCTTCCTGACTCCAAGTCCAGAGCTCTATCCACTGCACCACCTGGCTGACCCTAGTTCAATAATTCTTAAATTATCTCTCCTCAACCTGTTTTCCAGGTCAGTTGTTTTTCCAGTGAGAGAGTTCACATTTTCTTCTATTTTTTCATTCTTTTGATTTTGTTTTATTGTATCTTGATATGTCTTGGAGTCATTAGCTTCCACCTGCCCAGTTCTCATTTTTAAGAAATTATTTTCTTTTTTTTTAAGCATTTATCTATTTATTTATTTATTTTTGCTCCCCCCCCCCCATTTTCTTTTGGTGAGGCGATCGGGATTAAGTGACTTGCCCAGGGTCACACAGCTAGTAATTATTAAGTGTCTGAGGCTGGATTTGAACTCAGGTCCTCTTGACTCCAAACCAGAACTCTATTCACTGTGCCACCTAGCTGCCCCAAGAAATCATTTTCTTTAGTGAGCTTTTGTACCTTTTTTTTTTTTCCAATTTGGCCAATTCAGCTTTTTAAAGAGTTCTTCTCTTCAGTGCATTTTTGTGCTTCTTTTACCATTTGGTCTATTCTGTTTTTTAAGATGTTGTTTTCCTCTGCCATCACTCTCATTTCTTTTCCCATTTTTCCTTTACCTGTCTTAATTGATTGTTTAAATCCTTTTTGAGTTCTTCCAGGAATCCTTTTGGGGCACATTTTTCTTTAAGGCTTTGCCTTTTTGACATTGTTGCCTTCTTCTGAGTTTGTGTTTTGATTTTTGATCTTCCCTGTCACCATAATAACTTTCTTTGGTCAGGTTTTTTTTTGGGGGGGGTTTTTTTTGTTTTTGCTTTTTTGTTTTTTGTCATTTGCTCATTTTTCAAGTATATTTCTTCACTTTTAACTTTATGTTAAAATTGGATTCTTCTCCTGAGGTGGGGGGGGGGGCACTGTCTGAATCTTCAGGTTTTTTGTTCTGTTGTTTTCAGAGCTAGTTCTGGGGGGGGTCTGTAAGTTTTCAGTTCTTCCAGGTGGTATGATCTAAGGAGAGGTGTAGTCGCTGCTATCCTGGCCTATGCTCTGGTCTTTGAGCAGCCATAATTACTGTTTTCTACCCTGGGACTGTGACCAGGGCCCCAGCACCCCTGATAGTGCTCCTCCTCACCCTGGGCCTGCCACCCAGAACTCAGCATGGTCAATGCAGCAGAGTCCTGCACCCGGTGCTCGCAAAGAGGCCGCTGGAATCTTTCTCGCCAGTTGTCTGAACTGTTTGTCTGTAGGCTGAGAGCTCCGGAAGTTGCTGCTGTGGATTCACTTGCCCCTGCCGCTGGCTTGTGCCGGCCTTGGCTGCCTTGTTCATGAGCATGGGGCCTCACTACTGCCTTGTGCCTGGATTCAGGACCTCGCAGCTGGTTTCCTGGGTACAGTGTGCCCCAGGCTACACTCCCTTCTTATCCCAGTTAGACCTTTCCTTTGACCTTCTAAGTTTTCTTGAGCTGCAGAATTGTTTCCCCTCATCCTTGTGTTGGTTCTGCCATTCCAAAGCAGTGTTTTGAGGTATTATTTTAAAGTTGTTTGGAGGGGAATTTGGAAGGGGTTGAGTAAGTCCCTGCCTCTAATCTGCCGTCTTGACTTTGGCTTCCCAGTCTTACTCCAGTTGAGATCTTTTCAATCCCAATCCTGTCACCTGTCACATTAGCCCAGCCTCAGACGTTCCACAGGTTTGATAAGCATCTGTACCATCACCCATTTCACTGAAAAATGCTGAGTGAGCCGGGCTAAGGAGTGTCCCATAGAACTCCATCCCGATGTCCCTCTGAGTCAGTATTGAACAACATTCAGTCATTCTAAGTCCACGTAACTATATTCTCATTGATTCCCCCACCACTCCTGACTGTCACAAAGATATTTTAAGAGTTTGCCTTACTGGAATCTGAGATGGCTCTGGCCATCATAACCTGTCCAAAAAGAAAGCTGACATGTTGTTGTGACATGACTTGTTCTACGTAGTGCAGGTGGCCCTGCTCCCCTTTTTTCTAAGTGCTTATAAACTCTTTTAAAAATACTGTGTCCAGCAGCTAAGTGGCACAGTGGATAGAGCACCTAGAGTCAGGAGGACCTGAGTTCAAATCCGGTCTCAGACCAGACACTTGACACA